GTGACGACGGATGCGAGATACCCTCGCTCCTTCAGCGTGAGCTTGATAGATGACTGCTTGCCTTCCATGGGATTCGGCCCATGGTCCATCTGCACCGTTGCTCGGCCATGGCGTGGCGACGCTGGCCGCTGCCCAGCGGGTCCTGGCCTCTCGAGCACGGCAGAAGTAGGCGACGTTGACCCCTGGCCAGCGGGTCCTGACCTCTCGAGCCCAGCATGTGGCGACGCGACCGCTGGCCAGGGGGTTCTGACTCCGAGCTCAGCAAAGCTTGGCAACGACGACCGCAGGGCAGCGGGTTCTGACGCCAGCTCTGGGCAGACCGCCACCGCCATCGGAGGGACTGAGGCTGCGTCGGCGACACCAGCAGAGGCCACTGCGGCGCGCCTGGCAGGCGCCTCGTCGAACTGCTCCTCCGCACTGATCATGGATCGCGCGTGCCGCGCCGCCTGCTCGTCCCACTCGTCAGGGTCCTGCTCTGCCAACCGCTTCATGTTGGCGTGGTAGCGGGCTCTGATGCGCTTCCTGGCCGACCAAGCCGACTCGCAGAAGTCCTGGGCCATCTTTAGCCTGGCCACGCCGAGGTTGTCGACGTCGAGGGAGCGCGCCGTCTCGGTGACTAGCGGCAGCCACGTGCCGTGCGCCAGCAGGTCGGCCACGTAGGAGACGCAGAGCCTCAGCCAGTGGGCCTTGTTACCGTCCTCGTCGAGCGTGGCAAGGTCCTGGATCCAGAAGGTGGTGTAGGCCCTCAGCCGCTTCTCCAGCGCCATGCGCGCGTACACAGCCGCCCTTCTCACAGGATCTTGATCCTTGGCCTCCATGACAGCCAGCTGCCGACCGAAGACGCCCTTGCGGCTGACGGCACCCGAGGAGGTCATCGTGATCAAGGGCTCGATGACCCCCCCGCTCGCGAGGTGCTCCAGGCCAGGCCCTTTGCTAACCTCACGCCATTGCCACGCTTGAACTGCTCGCAGGAGAATGCGCTTGACCGACCACGGCCCCAGCTCGAAAACATGAATGTTCGTAGCCCTCGTGCGTGCGCCACAAGGTAGGGCTCAGCACCTGCCAGCCAACTCTCTCGAGCGTGAGCCGCACCGCGCTGAAGGGGCCCTTGACCTGGCTCCAGCTCGCAGCCTGGCAGCAAGTGAGGCCGTAGGCGATGATATGCTGCGGGATCCAGCACTCCCACGCCGCGCGCAGCATCATCAGCACTGGGAGCAGCGTGGCCCTGATCATCGGGTCCAGCATGGGCGTCAGCATCAGCGTCAGCGTGCGCGAGCGCCCGTCCACGCTGGGGGCCACTGCCTTGAAGTCGCCGTGCGCAGCGTGTCCAGCTCCATGGTGGCGCAGCCCGTGACCGCGACGCCGTAGGTCACGCTGGGCTCGATCCCAGCACGGGCCACCTTGCGCACGGCCTTCTTGCGCCCAGCCCCAGTCTTCAGGATGGCCACGCGGCGCTGGCGTAGCCCTGCTTGAACCAGCTTCTCCTGCCGCACCTTGCGCACGATACGCCTGCCGCAGGCGAAGTCGACGCCCAGGTTGCGCTCGCCCTTGACGGAGAGCACGCCGAGGGGACGGCGTAGCCGAGCGGCCAGGGCGTGCCGGCCTGCTGGGAGGTTGGAGAGCGCCCTCGACTTCTTGACCGCCACGTTGAGGTCGACGTCCAGCAGCAGCATCTTGAGCTTGAACGCTGCTTCTGCCACCTCCTTGGTCACGCGCACGAGCCCGCCAACTCGGTGCAGCATGAGATCGTCCACGACGACGGCCAGAGAAACTGTCGGGTGCTGTATGACCAGGCGATCCAGCGGCCCGATCAGAATAAGCTTCAGCAGCGCCGTCGCGAAGCCATCGCCTGGGAGGATCCTGCCTGGCCTCGATCACGCTCGAGGCCGCGCTGCCCATGCAGAGGACCCGAGGCGCGCAGTAGAGCTCCAGCGTCAGCTTGAGCTGCCAGAGGGGAAACCCCGTGGCGACGGCGGCGTCCAGCAGCCAGTGGCGGCGCACCTGCTCGAACGCCTTGAGCAGGTCGAGCAGCACCGCCACGGCCACCCACGACTCGGCGTCCCCGCAGTCGGCACCGCGCTGCGTGGCCCACTCGCCGATCGCGGCCTGGTGCCACACCGCACGCTCGCAGCTGCGGCCAGCAGCTGCCCACCAGTAGGGGCGGTCGTTGTCTTGCTCCCACTTGCGCGCGACGCCTCGGCGCAGCCGCGCCTGCACCCTCGCCAGCACCATGATGACGGCGATGGGCCTGACGCCGCCGAGCCGCTTCTGGATGAAGCCGATCTTGGTCGTCATGAGCGGCCAGGCTGCTTCGCGCTCGACGGCCACCAGGATGTCGATCAGCACCTCCAGCGCTTCGTCGCACAGCTCGTCCAGCTGCCGCGGCCGAACGGAGCAGAAGGACATGCCCGTGCTGCCCTTGAACGAGCGCAGCACCTTGCGGAGCTCAAGGACCGTGGGCCTGGGCGGCCTCTCGCCGAGGTCGGCTGGCCACTGCAGCCGCGCTTGCTCGCAGGTAGTCCTCCACCAGCGGCTCCACTCGACCTCCAGCGCCGTGACCTGCTGCCCCAGGTCCATGGGCTCGAACAGCTGCTGGTGGTCGTCGGCGTCCTTGTCGTCCTCGGCGTCGCCGTACGGGCTGGAGTCGAACCCGACGGGCAGTCGGGACACCGCATGTAGACCACCTCCACCGCCTTCGGCCTGCTTCTCGACCCAGTGCTGGAACTGGACGGTGCGCTGGGCCATGTCCTTCTCAGCCATGTCGAGCGCCACGGCTTGCGCCCCAGCGTGC